GCGACGTCCGCGGTGTGCGCAGGCCGCGCCCGGCTCCCCGGGACGGCCGCGGCCGCCTGCTCTCGGGACTTTCCCGCCGGCGCGGCGTGCCCTCGGGGGCGAGCTGTTCGCGCCCGCGCGTCTCTCCCCGACCGAATGGTGGCTCTCGGCCGTCTCCGTGTCTCACGTACAGTTTTCCAACTCTTAACTCTGGCCTCTCCCCGGTACCGCTAGCGCCGCGACCCGAAAGAAACGTCCGGACCTCCCGCCCGGGTTATGAGAGCCCCCTTAGCCGCCGCAGAGCGCTTACCCGGCGCATCGCCTCTCGGTAATTCCCCCGGGCCGGGCCGTTCGCGGCGAGCCCGACGCGCTCGCTGGGATGCGTGTCCAGGTCCCCTGTCCTGAGCTAGGTGATTTCTGTCTATCGGCGCCTTCGCAGTTTCTACTGTCTTGTCGTCTATAACTTACTACGTTATCTCTTCCAAGTCAGACTTGTTAAAGTTATCTCTGTTCACGTTTGTTGCGCTAGTACTGCTTTTGGGGTGGTGGTGATTCTTGTAAAAATTACGTAGAGCCTTTCCTAGGCTGCCTGCTGTCTGTCTCCGGGGCCCCTGTTGCGATTGGATATTCTGGATGGAGTCGATCGCGTCATCTCCTAAGGTTTTATTCTTCGTGGAGATAATTTGTGTTAAGGACTTGTGTTTAACAGTAGATCACACGGACTTTGGAATTACAGTTGCAGCGCAGCCTAAAACGTGATCCCTTCACCTTCCAATCGAGTGACCCTGTCCTCCATCCCCCAGTTTCCGAGCTCTTCTAGGAAGCTTTATTCATTTTGACCTGACTTCAGTTAATTATCTGCACTGCAAAGATGGTTTTCGTAGTGCACATCTGGTGAGTTAGTTATGGAGGGAGTGGATGGATACCAAAACAGGTTCTGCTACTTCTGGCTAAGATGACATAATCCTAGAGTTTTGGAAGTCGTTTCCTTTCACAGACTTTCACGTGTCCTACCAGTTGTACTAGCTTTGCTGTTTTACTGTATCTTTTTATGGATTGAGCTTTCTCTATTAGATAGCTTCTCAGGGGCAAGGACTTAGATCTCTGTATGGCCAGTACCCCATGCGTAACCAGTGCTTGGTAAGCAAATGTGTAGAAAATAATTGAAATATGCTTGCTTTTTAAAGCTGTAGAATATTAAGACGCTTAAGGTATTAGAGTCTTAACTGGGTCAGATTACATATAGAAATACTAAAGGAAAGGAACTCAAGTGCATGATATAGTATCAAGTGTATCATCTATGCAGTTTCTTTTTAGAGTTCACTAGGATGAGTCACAGGGTCGCTAACAGCCTTCTCTTCAAGTGTTCTAAGCTTGGCTTGGTCTTGGTACAGTCGGTGCACAGGGCCTCTCCTCAGTAGATGTATATCTGTGCATCTTTTAGTAACTTCATTGTCACCCCAAACATTCTCTTTTACAATAACTGTTTTTGCAAATACATGAACTTAGAAATGCTTTGCTACATTTGTTACATTTAGGACTTAGTTGTCTTTTTTTTCCTTCAAATTTCTTGTTACCTCTGCCCACTACTGACTTGATTCACCTGAATAATTGTAACTGTTTGTTCTTTTAATAAATTAATCAGTAATCAGTGTGTGCTAGGAATTATTAGAATGACTTTCTTTAGAGAAAAAAATTGGTGGCAGCAAATAAGGTTCTGCAGCATTTCAAGCAGAATCCTTGGGTCAAATATTTCTTCAAGTATGATTTCAAGTGACTAAAAGAAAATACTGTAAACCCAGGAGAGAAGCTAGATGCATGTGTATTAAAATGTAAAGATGAGTCTTTAATCATTTAAAATTGTAAATCAGTATGCATTTCCCAGAACTAAATATTGTTTTTTAATTACTATGTAAATTTGAGTGAGGACATGTTGATTAATGTGCACTTGTGTTATGTTAGAAATGTGCATTTGCTGGGGAGTCAGCATACTTCTCTTGTCTTGCCTTTGATTTCAACTAAGTCAGTTAACCTCTCTGGACATAATCTCAAATTCTTTAAGCTTTCAGCTTTTTTCCATCGTTACTTGTACTCTTTTTTTTTTTTTTTTTTTTTTGGCAGAACCGGAGATTGAACTCCGGTCCTTGCGCTTGCCAGGCAAGGGCTTATTCCACTGAGCTATCTCCCCGGCCCCTCCGTCTTTACTTGTATCCCAGCAGAATGCAAAGGAAATGTATGAATTTCATAAATTTGATAAAATCATGAAATTACCCTTTGGGTCAGCAAACTTTCTTTTTCTTTGTTTCTTTTTTTTCTACTGGGAATTAAACAGAACTATTTGTATGCTAGGCAAGTGCTTTGCTGGGGGCAGCATCTTATCCATTGTTTTTTGAGACAGGGTCTCATGAAGTTTACCAGGCTTCTTGTACTTATGGTCTTCCTGCCTCATCCTCCTGTGTAGCAGGGATTATGGTTTTATGTCACCTCACATGACTATTAGACTTTCAAATTGGCATCTCCTTAATAGAAAATAAAGGCTAGTTATGATAGTAACAACAAGTGACCTGAAGGAGAAACATTGAAAAAGTACTGCTAAGTTATTTGTTGACTTTTCTTCTCCATAATCTGTAATCCATGTAATTCTGCTGTATTAAGAGAGATGAGTAAGAATAACCAAGAGCATTTCTAGGAAGGAACCTTGTGTTGACTTGAGTACTAAGAAATATAGCTGAAACCCAAACCTGAGGCCCAAGCCCTTTGGGGCGCCTCCCTGGAATGTGATCGCTTGCTGAGGCTAGGGCTAAGCTGAGGTGGACTCAAGCAGTTTTCCTTTGTGTGTGCACGTTTCTGGGGCCACCAAAAAAGCTTCTTGCCATCATGCAGTCTCTTGGGTATATTGAAGCTCCAGTGTTGTTAGGCGTTTGGTGAAGCACTCAATCCAAAGTATTGCTAACATTCTGAAGAAATATGTGATTACGACTGCTCCTAGCTTCCTCCTCTTTTGGAAGTCTGCCAAAAGCATTACTGTGTGCCAAGTGTGTTTATTGATCTAGGTCCAGGCAGTTAGGCTTTTAAGAAGAAAGCAAGAAAAGTCTGCTCTTCTCTGTGATTCTGCTTTCTGTAGTTTGAATTACTACTTCACAGTCAGCTGTGGTTTCAGAATGACAGTTCCCTATTTTGAGAGCCTCCATCTGTATGGCTCTTATTGTAATTTTCCTGTTTTATTGTTAATCTCTTCTGTCTATAAATTAAACTTAGGTGTTTATGTGTATAAAAATCAGTACATACAGGATTCATCATTATTTGTAGTTTCAAGCATCCAGTTCCTGTCTTAAGTGGAAAGTGTTCCCTGCAGAGAAGACCAGATTAAGGTGTTTTGGTGACTAGGGGCATTTTACTTCTGTTTTGTGTTGCTGTGGATGAAGCCTAGGTTTTCACACAAGTCAAACAAGTGCTGAGCCACTACTACTTAACACTGCTGTGCTAAATCCCCACCTTTGGCCTTTAGCAACTTGATGGATGATTGAGGAAGAAAGAGGGGTTTGTGCAACTGCAACATATTTCTTGATTGTCCTCAATAAATTGGTAGCTTTATATTAGGCCATTAAGGTGGTGTATAGAACAGAAGTCTCAGTCATCACAAAGTCAATCACTAGTTTATAAAATGACTTAGCATGAAGTAATAGAAAAGGCAGTGGGTTGGGGAATCATTTCTAGGTTATAATTTCAGTGTAGTCACTAATTTTATGTAAACTAATCTGAGAGTGGGCTGTCTCAACTTGCTTCTTTAATATTCTCTGATTCTTCGAGTTTGTGATTGCTGTTTAGTAGTGCAGTTTGCAGATATGTTCAGAAGTACCTCAGGCCAATTTTATTTTCCAGTCGTTATCTACTAAGTCAATTCTTTCACCAAGCTAGATTTTCTTCTCCAGCAAGAACACAATGTTGCTTCTGAGTGACTTCCTGCCCTATAATATGTAACCTTTCTGGTTTTTGTCTTCTTTTACAGGACTTCATATCTTTGCTAACTTCAGTGATGTGAAAAGACCTGACATGGGTAAGACTAATATAAGGTAATCATCCACTCCTTCTAGTAACTCAGATTAGGGAAAGCAAGTTTGCCTGACATTTTTGGTTTCATCTTGGTGCATAATAATTTTAAGAACAATCTTAGTCTTTTTGTTATTTGAGACAGGGACCTCACCATGTAGTTCAGACTTACTTTGAACTCATTATGTAGTCCATGCTGGCCTCAAACTCATGTCAGTTCTCCCGCTTCATCCTCCCAAGTGCTGGGATTACAGGTGTGCCCCACCATGTCTGGCCAGTCATAATCTTATATACCAAACAGTTTTCTTTTGGTTAAGTAGGACATTGTTTACAAAGTCATGTAAGAGCATTTTCTCATTATTGCATTGAAAAAGCCAAATACACACTAGCAAACACTATATTTACTGTTTTCAATTAGCAATAATTGCACCTTGGATAAACCTCATTGGCTATGATACTGCCGCTGCGCAAAACTTTATATTCACTATTTACCTGTCTTAAGTACCTAAATATACTAATCCATTTAATTCTGTTGGTCACCTTGCAAGGATATAGTACTGACAAAGTAGGTGTTGTCATTATCCCTGTTATATCAACAAGGAGAGTGAGACACAGTAGAAACTTGCTCGGGAGCCTGGTGTGGTAGCGCACATCTGAACTCCTAGCCCTCTGTGGTCCCAGCACTTAGGAGGCAGGAGCGCATAGTGAGTCTCTATCTCAAAAATGAAAAGATCAAAGAGACCCTGAAGGTTACATATACTGCACCCGCCAGGGCCTGAATTTGAGTCACGCTGCAGAGTTCCTATCTTCATTAGTACATTGCACACTGCCTTCTGTGTGGTAAAAGGTAAGTCTTACATTTCATTTACTAGTGTGGCTGAGAATTCATTATGATTGGAATGCTTTCCACTTTTTTTTTTTTTTTTAGTATTTTAGGACAGGGTCTACAGGGTCTCACAGCATAGATCAGACTCAGTGATCCGCCTGTGTTCAGCCTCCCAAGAGCTGGGATTACAGGTGCGCACCACCATGCCCATTCTCAGTGCTGCCTCAGTGTACCCTGAAGGCGGGGCCAGTACAGCAGGCTGGGATTGAACCCCTGGCCGCTGCGTCTGCCTAAGCAGGCGCTTTAATCTACAGAGCTATTTGGCCAGCCTTTACTTTCCACTGTTTTATTCATGGTATTTTTGTTAAGGAGATCCCTGTAAGATCAGGAGTAGAAGCCAATTTAGCCATAAGTTAAAACATCTATACAGTAAGATTTTTTTTTTTTTAAGATCTTTTTTTAAAAACTTATTTAGTGCAGGGTCTACAGGGTCTCACTGTACAGACCTGACTCCTAGTGATTCTCCTCTTTTCAGCCCCCTAAGTGCTTGGATTACAGGTGCTTGCCACGATGCCCAGTCTCAATTGCTGTCTCAACACACCTGGCGGGGGGAGGCTGGCACGGCATGCGGGGGATCCAGACCCTGTCCCTGCGTCTGCCTAAGCAGGCGCTTTAATCTGCTGAGCTATCTGGCCGGCCCTGTACAGTAAGGTCTTACAACACTCCACAGACTCCCTTTAGATTGCTATCAGCTTTCTGTATTTTCCCTTTGATTCGTCTACCTTCTCCTTCCCCCTGTGGTTTGTTTCCATTATCTTTCCTTGCTGGTATCAGGGTCAGTTTTTGAGATCCTTTCTCATTCTTATTTTAGCTCTTTTATAGTAACAAAAGTCTCAAAAATGTTTCTAAAGTAAGATTCTGCCACAGTATAATATTGCACTGACGTCTGTTAAGGACTGTATGAATAAATTACACTTTTTACAGAAAAATTTCAAGTGAACTGTTTTAAACTGCTAGCTTTTGAATCAGAACAAGAAATAAACCAGTGTGAAACATGTTTGTTTCTGAATGGTGAAACTGCCTCCACCCCAGTGGGGTTTTGTTTTTTTTTCCTTTTTCAGACACAGAATTTTGCTATGTTGCCCAGTTTTTATTCCTGTATAAATTTTGAAGTATTTGATGGGGATCTTTATTCCAAATGAGCCAGTTCCTCTCTGTGGACCCCTTTTGAGAGTTTGAGTTTTCTTGCCAATGCTTAGTTATGAAGGGCTTGAAATAAAGTTGTTATTTGGGAGCCATTTTTGCTAGGTGAAAAGACTGGTTCATAGGGAAAGAGTTAAGAATGAAGTACCATGAGCTAATCTAAGCACCTTCTTCCAGATGATATTGCTGACAGGGTGAGGATGGACGCTGGGGAAGTAACTTTAGTGAACCACAACTCCATCTTCAAAACTCACCTCCCGCTGCAGTCGGGGTTTCCAGAGGACCAGCTTTCACTTCCTGACCAGCAGGTTAAAAAACATTTTCTTCCTTGAGTTAATTAATTTTCTCTTTGTAGGCTTTCATTTGCTGTGGTTTAAATGTTAACACTCAAAAGTACAATCATATGTGTGAATTATTTTAGAGTCCATCTTAGTGTTTGAAATTTTGCTTGATTAGTTAAGACAAAGTAGGCAATGTTATTTCAGAGTAATATCTCTTATAAAACTCACCGTTCATCTAAGTATTACAGCCGTCAATACATGGGCCAGTGTTCGTTTCTTTCTTTCTTTCTTTATTTATTTTTTGCGGAACTGGGGATTGAACTCAGGCCCTTGCGCTTGCCAGGGAAGCGCTTATTCCACTGAGCCATCTCCCCGGCCCCCTGTATTCTTTTAAACTAGTGTCTTAAAGTTACTGAGCACTAATTTGGATGGGTATAAACATACACTGGAAGGTATGTCTGCTTAAGGAAGCTCAGGGTTGAGGTGTGAGACACACCGTTAGGAAAGCAGTCTTTCTTCCGGGAGGCTGTTGGTATGCGGTGAGGCGGTTCCTGCTGTGTGCGTCCCAAGCATAGTAGGACAGACCCTGAATACCTGCTGCATCCGCCCTCTACTTACCTATGCATTGAGTGCATGTTTAAATAGTTCAGATTTGTACGAGGACTGCAACACCACCCTGAGTAAGGACTGTTTTCAGAGTCAAAGTCATGTTCATTTTCTCAGTCTCTTTCTAGTCCATGTTACAAGTGGCTTCAGACAGGATATATATGTATATTTACCTTCCAGTGGCGATCCTATGAATAAAATTATATAGTAGAGTTTTACCCATTTTCCTCCTAGAACCTGAAATATTTCATCAATGTATTTTCCTTGAGTATGTAGTGTATGTATAACATGCATGTAAGTATACTATAATTATATTGAATTGCAAAATATGGTCTGTTTACTAATGCATTTTTCTCAATATAAATTTTTATTCCTTTTTATTGTCAAAATATGATTTAAAAAAAAACTCTTCTCCTTTGTTTAGGTTTTACCTTCCAGGACAGGAAATTTGGATCGATCTTTTACGTGTTCCACAAGAAGTGCAGCTTACAGGCCAAATTACTACTCAGGTATGGAGCTCTCCCTGTAGTTGGGGCATTTTCAGACTTCTACCTAGTAAATCATTTTTGCATTCTATCTTTAACATTAAAAACATTGTTCAGAACAAAATGGCATTTTTTCCACTAAAGCATCATTTTAATAAGCTTTTCATATGTGTATGTTATCTCTGTAATGCTTCATGGATCCAATCTCAACCAAATTTTTTTTTTTTTTTTTGGAACCGAGGATTGCATTCAGGCCCTTGCATTTGACAGGGAAGCGCTTATTCCACTGAGCCTTCTCCCTGGCCCCCAAATACTAATTTTTTTTTTCCATAATTTTGTTGAGAAACAAACAGCAATGAGACAGTTTCAAACCAAATTGGTAGGACAGTTTCAATAATTAACACATTGCATACATTCTTCCTAGTGGTTAATTGCTGTACAAGATGTGGACTTGATATCCTATTTACAAACACTATTAGAACAAATCCCTCTATTCATTAAGAGAATGTAACTATATATCTATCCTAACCACTTTGAATACACAGATACAAAATGGTTTCATCTGTATACCCTTTTTTTTGTTAAGTTCCATCATTTAAATATTATAGGTGTATAAACTCAGCAAAATATTCTAAAAGAGTTCAGTAGTCCATAATAGTATTGGGTCTTCTGCTTCACTGGCAATGTCAGAAATTGTTGACCTGAGTCCCCTACAGCTCAACATAACACCATGGCTTTACTTCTTATACTTTGTTTTTATACTTTTCTGCTGGATGTTTAAGACCAAGGTAAAGCAGGACCTATGCAACAAGAGTTGTAGCTTTTGGGTCTGATAAGGGCAGTCAAATCCCCTCAGGATTTATCCTGAGATCCTGCACCTCAAATTGTAGATCCTTTGTCAGTGTCAGCCATGTGGATGAAACGGCCATTGCTTGACCAATGTGCTCTCTGTGAAAGCCTGAGAGAATGTTTTCTCTCCAGGTGACTCTCCTTAGGCACACTATGTCATCAACCACATTGCTCTGTGGCGCCATAATCTCCTTGATCAGAAAATTTGGCATACTACTGAGTTACGTGATGTTACAGTACAAGTTCTCATGTGTCCTGAGTCTTAAGTGACCTTGGAAGGCTAGGGCCAAAATGTTGGCTTTCCTTGCGGCCCTCCTTTTAATTTTGGTCTGCAAACTTAGGTTGTTAACCATCCAGAAGAGAAGCTTATTGTTATTACCATACAACCTAGGCTGTTAAGCTTAACCTCACTATCAGTCTGACTATCAAACATCTTAGGCACAACATGGAACAGATATTTTTCATCAAGTATTGATATGTTGAACTTTAAGTCTCTACAGAATATGATGAAAAAACATTTACAAGTTAGAATATATTTTTAAAAATAGGCATAAAGAATTATGTACTTCTTAGGTTTACACATAAGTCCAAAAATCTAACCATATATAACCTTGAAGCAAGATAGTCCCACAACATTCCTTTTCCTATCTCTTGCCTTCATTCACCACCCCCTTCTTTTTGAACAGTCATCTACCCCCAAATACTAATTTTTTAGTGGAAGTGTTTTAGAAATTATTTGCCTATTTGTCTGAAAACAGAACAATACAGCTTTGTTTTTGTTTGGTGTTTACTTTTTTGGGATATGTGTATGTGGTGTAAAACCTATTTGTTTTGCATTGATTTAAACCACAGAGCTAGTGTATTCTGATTGAAGCAATGAAACCTGAAAACGGACTTCTACCCACGCTTGTCCCTCAGTCAGGGCAGGAAATGTGAGCTCTGTGTTTCCTGTCTAGTGCCTGCCACAGCCATATGCTTGCACACTCAAGGGCTTGCCCGTCCAGTCTGTGATCCATGACGTGTCACCACGTGCTTGGTGAGCCCTGCTCTGGGTTGCCCTGCCTGCTGGCCTGGGAAGCTAAGAATTCGGTTACAGCATTGCGGTGCTGTGACTCAGGAAGGTCACGGGGGCTTCCTGGGTCTTTCCCCTCATCTCACTCTGCTGAAATGTGGGAAAGCTACAAATACCATCAAAGGGTAAATTGAGGTGATAAGTATGAAATACAAGTAATAGTCCTTGTTATTTGGCTTCTCCAGGATTCTTTGTCAGCAAGAAGAGCTCTCCTTCCCTAAAAAGACGTTAGTGTGAGGCTCAGAAATTTGTCCTTAAGTCACTATGGGGGGTGGCACATTAGGACCCTGGGTTTAATCTCTTGGGGCGGATAGAGGCCTGCACATAGCATATGTGACTTTTTATAAAGTCAGGTAACTCAGAAAGTAGCTCTATAATTTACTATTGAAAAGGCCTTTTTGATGCACAGAAAACCTGAAATCTGGTTTGATAGCTCAATATTAATACTAGGAAGAGATAATTGAATTGTTACAAAATCAGATCATTTTTCTTTCCATTTCAAGTTGCATTTGCTTGTAATTTCACATATTGATTTACCATTAGAACCTTTGTTTTAGACTAAAGATAATTGCTTAAAATTGATAAGCCATTATATAGAAAACTGTACTCAAAATACCCTAACTGTAACTTGGTTCTCTTTTGCTTTCTTTTTCTTTCATGTAAACTCATGTAACCACTAAGAAAATCAGTAGGTGAGTCCTCAGAACACTACCCTTTGATCCAGGTCCTCCTCCTCAAGGACTAGCTGTTGATTTTTATCTGTGCGTTCACTCAGGCTGCACAGCGTATGCTTTCGCACGCAGCCCTTTTTAAACTCCAGCTCTCTATAGTGTTAGGTGTGTATCACTTCACGTGGTCTTCCTCATACTTTTTTCTCTCACCTGTGGAGTTGATGTATGCTTCCACAGTGTTGGAATTTGTGTCCTATTCCAAACTAAACTCTGAAAAACAAATTTTTTTTTGTTCTTTGACATCAAAATCTGAGCTGATTTGTCCTGAAATTTGTTCCTTGACAAAACCTAATGAGCTGACATGAGACTGTTTAATATTTTATCTTTATCTCTGAAAATGTGACTGTTTATATGTTTTGCCCCTTACATCGTGATGTTTGTTTCTAGGTTGCTTCTACAGCTTATAGTTGGAAGTGTTATATAGTATATCAGATTATCTTCCTAAGCATTCCGAAAGTTTAAATTCAGAAATAGAACCGGACTCCAGGGGTTTATGATTTGGGATGATGGCTCGGTGCCTTCATTTGCTTCATGGTTTTTCCTATGGTTTAGGTCCACTTTCAGCTATTGTTAATGTAATTTAAGAACATTTGTAAAAGTTCCTTTCATTTAAATTACAGTAGACTTCTGATACTTAGGTATGTCTGAGACTATCTCAGCTCTGAATGTTCTTTTTTTTACCCCCCTGGCAGAACCAGGGATTGAACTCATGCCTTTGCGCTTGGCAGGCAAGCGCTTATTCTACTGAGCTATTTCTCTGGCCCCCCTGTTCTTGACTGGCATTATTTGACTAGATTTTGAGTCAGGCACATAATTGATGAGAGTTGATCCCTATTGTCAAAACCAAAATGTGGGGGCTGGAGAGATGGCTCAGTGGTCTAAAGCACCTACTTGGAACAAGCTTGGCAAAGCACAGGGACTGCGGTTCAATCCCCCAGCACCACATGCCAGCCAGCCCCGCCCCCTGGTGGGATGAGCTGGCCACACACACACACACACACACACACACACACACTAAATGTTAAAATAAAAAAAAAAATGTGTCTCTCACCTGAATTTAGGAAATTCTTAGGAAATAAAGATGTCATAAAAGTTATTGCATACTTGGCAGCAAATAGAGAAGAACATAATAAAATACTGAAATGGGAGTGCTGTACTGTTTATTATTAATGCACTCTGAAATGGGCGAGGTAATGTGCACTGGTAATCCCAGCACTCTGGGAGGCTGAGGCAGGAGAAGTCCCAGCCTTCCCCGGGGAATTTAGGAAAGGACTGGGGATGTGGCTCCACGTGAAGGCTCTGGTGTCAGGGTCTAGGACTGCTGAATCAGCCAGTCTGCCAGTCAGTCGCAGCTTGCAGCCCATGATTCAGTGTTTTCTGTACCAAGCTTTATTTAGTTCATTTTCAAAGAAGCTTATTGCATGTCACAGACTCCACAGGTACTCGTTAACAAGAAGCCTTAAATCTATGAGTGCCAGTCATTTGTGTACTTAAATAGTAATTCTTGAGTAAAAGCTACTTTTGACCCCAGGAGTATAGATCGGTGGTAGATTTCATACTAGTATATGTAAGGCTAGTATGTGTAAGGCCCTGGATCTAATCCCCAGTTGCAAATAACAGCTTCTTTTTGTTTTTTTAGCCATGTAAAATACTTTTAAACTTGTTTGCAGTGCCTGCTTCAGTTCATTGCAGATTCTGCAGAGCGTTGTCTGCACTGCCTCTCTCCTGTAGTCTGTTCTAGTAACCTTGCACTGGTTCCTGTGGCCCGCCGCTTGGAGCCTAGCCTCGCAATTGGGTTACACAGGAATCCCTAGTGTACCTGCCTTGGTCTTCTGCTCTAATGCAGTTAGTGTTTATCTCTTGTCCTACCTTACTCTTCTTTACCAAGATGAAAATGAGCAGGGGATTTCTAACTTTAGAGTTTTTTTTTTTTTAACTGGATGTACCACTCTAGATAGATGAAGCCTTTCAAAAATTTGCTTCTTGACCCACTCAGGATGAGAGTAAGCCACGTGTACCGTTTCATGTTAGTAACAGTAATGGTTAGACTTCAAGATTCCCAGTTTTATTAAGACCAAGAGAAAATTAAAAGAAAATTAAAAAATTTTGAACCTTAAAAAGAGATGCAAATGAAATTATTTTTGCTAATGTTTAGCATCATTATCCATATCCATATCTTTTTTTTTTTTTTTTTTTAAATACAGGGAATTGAACTCAGGACCTTGTATTTGCCAGGCAGGTGCTATTCTGCAGAGCTGTTCCCAGTCCCATTATCAATAACTTATTTTTATTTTTTTTTTTAAATTTTTTTTTTAACATTTATTTAGTGTGTGTGTGTGTGTGTGTGTGTGTGTGTGTGGCCAGCTCAGCCCACCAGGGGGCGCGGCTGGCTGGCATGTGGTGCTGGAGGATCGAACCGCGGTCCCTGTGCTTTGCCAAGCTTGTTCCAAGTAGGTGCTTTAGACCACTGAGCCATCTCTCCAGCCAATAACTTATTTTTAGAATATATGTTAAATTAGGTGACCTCTCAAGTACCCTGTTACTATGGTAACTGTATCCTAAAGTTAATGGAATGATTTAATGGTTATAGTAAGTGACTGACTATGCTTATTTTTTAATATAACATTTAATATAAAGTTTATTTTTTATTTCCATAAAAGTATTGCCTGGCGCTGTAGAAAATTTGTTAAGAAAAGTAGAAAGTTAACCAGCATTGTATCACTAGAACGTGTCCGTCAGATTTTCAGAGACTTTCACCCGCTTTATGTGTGAGTGCACGTGTAATGATCTTAGTTCTGGCATTTGAAACGCTGAGTCTTAGTGCAGAAAGTGTCGCTGTAAAGAGAGGGGTCTGCAGCCTGCTGGTCCGAGCCTAGCTTTGTACGCCCCTCACAGTACAGAGCTGTTCAGTGGCCCTACCAGGTGGGGGCAGCCACTTTATTCTGCTTGTCAGTCTTCCTGACTTTATATGCATTTTGGATTTTGTTTGGTTTTTGTTTGTTTTGTGAGACAGGCTCTTGCTGTGTAGCCCAGGCCGGCTTGAACTCATGCAGTCCTCCTGCCTGAGTCTCTAATCCTGGGATTATACGCATGAGTCTTCATGCCCAACTTTCCTTTGTATTTTATTTTATTTGTTTGTGTGTGTGTGGGTGGGTGGGTGGGTGGGTGGGTGTGGGTGGGTGTGTTTGAGACAGGGTGTCACTGTGCAGTTCAGGCTAGCCTTGAACTTGCAGAGATCCTCCCGGAAACTGATGGCTGTGTCGGATGCCATTAGGAAGGCTGTTCTGGCTTGTCCTTGGTCTCACACTTTACATCTATCAGGATAGTTTGCATCTTTGACTGACCTCTTCCTCAATTAGATATCTTTAGTTAAATAATTTCCTAAGCAAATTTTAGCCACAATGTGAGACAGAAAATTTTCTCCTGCCGTCACTTGGCATTTAAAGATAATCATTTTGTAGTGTTTGTCCCCTCTACTTCTTCACACTGAGGTTCTGCATCCCCAACCTGGTTTTTTTTTTTTTTTTGTTTTGTTTTTGTTTTTGTTTTAGGGTCACACTAAATTGCTGAGTTTCCCAGGTTGGGCCTGAGCTAGAATTCTCCTAGCTTGGCCTCTTGAGTGCTGGGATCACAGATGTGCACCACTATGCCTGGTGAATTTGTGCTTCTTTGCTAGGACTCATTTTTAGTAGCTTCATATTTCGGTCATTAATAGTAATAGATGTTAAGCGTAAATACTAATTATGTAGGGAAAAAATTACAATTCATTTTGAAAGTAAGTGAAAGTTAATTATGAGACTTCAGTTTATTGAGTGGTAAATGAGTAGGTAAAAATACCAGCTTTGATTGCCTTTCCCCTGACTTAATCCAAATCTTGATTTCCTGATGAACTTAAGAAAACACAAAATTCTAACTTTGAAGCCTGCGTTAACTTTTTGGATAGAATGTCAAAAGATATGCTAATATTTTAAATAGCATAAATATGCAGTATTGTATAAAATTCTGTGGTAATATGCTTTCAAAGGGGATCTTGAAAATGTCAGCATTGACAGAAATTCTGGAAACTGGTATTAATAATTCTTGATTGTGTTTGTTTTTTGAGACAGTGTCTCACTGTGTAGACCATACTGGTCTCAAACTTGTGGCAATCTTCCTGCTTCAGCTATGTATGTGTTGGGACTACAGGAGTGTGCCGCTGTACTCAGCCCTTCTTGTTCTTTTTTCCTTTTTTGGTTTTACTTTTCTCTTCTTTCCTTTCTCCCTCCACTGTTTTATTCTCCTCTCCATTTAAACATTTTTCTCCCAATTTCACAATCCCTATTGTGTACTTTGGTCTTTATTTTCACTTTCAGGTTTTTACACCAGAGAAACTGCAGTATTTACACATGCGTAGATGCATTTCACTTCAGAGTGTGGACTCAAGGTGCATCCATTCACCTAGACTTGTCCCAGGCTTATTTTTCTTTATGTCAGAGTAATACTCCATTATATTAAAAAGAAAAAAAAAACAAAAAACAAACCCCAAAAATACTCTTTATCGATTCACCAATTGATGGGCATTTGGGCTGTTTCCAAGATTTGGCTGTTACAAACTGTGCCACTATGGACACAGGTGTGTATGTATCGCTGTGGTGTGATGCTTTTAATGCTTTGGGAAAGATACCCAGAAGCGAAATAGCTGAGTCAAATGGAACCCCTAATCCTGGTTTTCTGAAGTCTCCAAACTGATTCCACAGTGGTTGCACCAGTCTGCACTCCCAGCTACAGTGGAGTAGGGTTCCTTTTCCTACGTTCTTGTTTTTTTACTGAAGCTCCTCAATTCCATAAGCTAATGTATGAAGATATTTTGCAGGAGCTATTTTAAATTGGCCACTCCTGCTTACAGAGGAAGGTATAGAAATTGTTCTACAACTAAGATGTTGTCACCCCAGTTTATAATCCAGAAGTCATGAAATTCAAATGACAACAAGCAATCATCAGTCCGATGGTAGTAGCGAACAATGAAGTATTGACACGTCTGATGGTCATGGCATTAAGTGACTGAAGGTACCCTGGCAGACCCAGTGCATCCGCTGGGTCGTCTCTCCCAGAAGCTGGCCAGTATAAGCAGCACTTAGGCCACCTGCGCTCTTTAGCGAGATCTGAGTCTTGGTCATGGTAATTAAGAAAAAAGTGATGCCAGCTGCTCAATAACAGTGACTGTTGTTCATTTGAATTACAATTCTCCTTGGCCCTCCGCCTGCTTCTTACTGGTCTGGCCTACTTCTTTCAGGCCCAGGCCTGGGAGTGCTTGCAAGATATAGTTGGGGTAAAATGTTGACTTTTGGTGGACACCACGGAGTCACATTGATGCAGATAAGGCACATGGCTGTGGCAGGATTCAGCTCCTTCATCCATTTTCAGGTTAGTATGGCTGAGTCACTTCTAGTTTGTAGAAATTTCCTAACCGCAGATTTGCTGGAAGTTGAGACTGGGCTCTCTCTTCCCCGAGAGACGTGGTGACATGCTACATTACTTTAGATACAGTGATGGTCATGGTTGCGGTCATGGAACCAGTCAGAGAGCACCAGCACCCATATAGTTATTTATTCAGTTTATTCAAACATTTGTTTGTTTGTTTGTTTGTGTTTTTAGACAACCCTTCCTCAGATAGTTTTCTTGGCTCAAGTGATGTACGGACTTTTTGCCAGAGTGCAAATGGCCAGTGGAGAAATTCTACTCCAGTACCAAGTTCAACTTTACAAAAATCAAGAAACAGCCGAAGTCTTTACCTTGAAACCCGAAAGACCTCAAGGTTGGTGTTTGCCTACTTTGTAAGCCTTCCTCAGATGTTAGAAAAAATAGCCGTAAGGTAGTTGTTACATTGGTGTTTTAAATGAGTCTTATGTCTAGCAGAGAGACCCTGAACACCGTGTAGACCCTTCCCTAGAGTACAAAAGAATGAAAGAAAAATAAATAGATAAATGAGGGGCTGGGGAGATAGCTCAGTAGAGTAAGCGCTTACCTGGCAAGTGCAAGGGCCTGAGTTCAAACCCCGGTTCCGCAAAAACAAAAAAAAGGAAAAAAATAAAAGATAAATGAGCCATACTACTTTTGGATTTTAAGCTATGCAGATGCAAACAAATTACTTGTAAGCTTTGAGTTTTAGTGACGGCCACATGTTACCCTTAGACGAGGTTCTGAGGGAAGTCTTGTGGCTGTGTGTATATTGGACCCTTCAGGAGGAGTGCGGCTATCACAGATTTTAGGCTGAAAGTCAGCGCAGCCTGAGTAGCAGAGGAACCAGCGCATGTGACAGGCTCTCGCGTGAGCAGAGAACAGAGGTCAGGCAGGGCTGCTCGAGCGAGCCTCGTGCGTCGGGCAGGTGCCCTGAGCTGCTGCTGTGAGCCATGAGCAGGCAGAGTGCTGCACTCAGGTTGATGAGCTGCACCCTTCCCGCACGAACTGACGCTGATTGTTGATGCAGACGAGACTTGACTTAGAAACTTGGGCTCAGGTATTTATTTATTTATTTATTTTTAAATTTTATTTATTTATTTGTGTGTGTGTGTGTGTGTGTGGCCAGCTCAGCCCACCAGGGGGCGGGGCTGGCTGGAATGTGCTGCTGGGGGATTGAACCCCGTCCCTGTGCTTTGCTTAGCTTAGCTTGTTCTAAGTAGATGCTTTAGACCACTGAGCCATCTCACCAGCCCTCAGGTATTTATTAGTTAAAGTACTATATGTTCACAAAATGTGTATGACTGAAAATCTACTGTGTTTAAGGGATGTGAGATCATTTCTTGTTTTGTCAAGCCCTTCTGCTGTTGATCAAAACTGGCAATATTACAGCTTTTTTACTTTATGAATACCAGCACCTGGGCTCTGGGAACGAGTCATTGCCCTCAGGGATCATCTTCACATTTCTAAATAAATTATTTAAGAATTAGCACGTTATGGGCTGGTGAGATGGCTCAGTGGTCTAAAGCACCTACTTAGAACAAGCTTAGCTAAAAGCACAGGGACCGTGGTTCAATCCCCCAGCACCACGTACCAGCCAGCCCCGCCCCCTGGTGGGCTGAACTGGCCACACACACAAGTAAATAAATAAAAATAAATAAAATTAAAAAAAAAAAAGAATTAGCACATTCATGCTGCAAAAACCAAACACCAGTTTTCAATTAGCAATAATCGCGCCTTGGATAAACCTCATTGGCTATGGTAATGCCGCTGCGCAGAGCTAAAACCAAACAACAGTGAAGTTAAAGCTCCCTCGGCTGCTGCTCACCCTCATCCCCTCTCACTGGTGTTTCCTTCCAGAACTTCTGTTTGTTTCTTTGTCATTCATGTGTAGAATAAAAATATATATGAAGTACTGTATGATTTTTGTCTTCATTAAAGAGTTTCTGTATGCTTTATTCAACAAGTTGCTTTTCTATTCAGTACTGTTTTTAAAAATAAAGTTACTGAAAAAATATATACACTTTGTGAAAAATTATAAAATATAGATAAGCCTAGAAATAAAACATCACTTTCGCACCAGCTTGAAAGTAATGTTTGTTATCTTAGTACATATCTTTCCAGATAATTTTCTTTTTTCTTTCTTTCTTTTTTTTTTTTTTTTTGCGGAACCGGGGATTGAACTCAGATCCTTGAGTTTGCTAGTCAAGCGCTTATCCTACTGAGCCATTTCCCTGGCCCAGATAATTTTCTGTGCTTTTAAATATGTTATTTTTTTCAAAAGTGAGCTCGATACAATTTTAGTAACATGACTTTTCTGTACAGAGTTCCATATTTTGGACTTGACAGGTTGCTTCTTCATGGTATCATTTTGTCCTCTGTTTCTTATAATTTTGTAACTAGATTTTTGACTGCAAGAAAAGATGATGCTGTGTCATATCACATTAGAAAGCCAATGGGCTGGCATGGTGCTGCACATCCGTAATACCAGCACTCGGGAGGCTGACGCAGGAGGGTCTCCACAAGTTCAGGGCCAGCCTGGGCTACAGAGTGAGTTCAAGGCCAGTCTAAACAACGTAGTGAGATCCTGTCACAAAACAGAAAAAGCAAACAGTATCTTACTCTGATTCTCTTGTTAGCGTTAAATAGATTGTCATGAATTAGGAGTTAACAGTCTGGTCCCTAATTAGATAGTCAGTATTCTCCTCTTATGACTAGAGCTTTATCTGAATGGTGTTTTGGCATCATGTAAATGAGCAATTTCACATCAGCCATCACTTAATAGTTACTAATCTCATTTAATAGTCCCTACCAGATGATAATTTTATTAGAGTTAATGCACTGATTTTTTTTTGGTAACTTTGTCATTTTTTAAATTTTATTTTACCTCATTTTTTTTTTTAACTTTGTCATTTTTTCCTTACTTTTAAATTGGCACTCTTATATTTTCATTCATTGGGGCTGTTTGGTTACCCTGAAAGATATTACCTATGGGAAAGGCTGGGTAAAAATTTTTTTTTTTTTAAGACGGAGTCCTACTATGTATTTTGGGCTGGCAGAAACTTGCAGAGATCCCACTGTCTCATCCCCCAAGTGCTGGGATTATAGATGTGTGCCACCAGCAAATCAGAATTTTTTTTTTCAGTACAAGGTCTACAAGGTCTCACTACACAGATCCGACTCGTAGTGATCCTCCCACTTTCAGCCTCCCAAGCGCTGGGATTACAGGCGTGCTACCGCGCCCAGTCTCATTCACAGGCAGCATGCCCTGGTGGGGTAGGGCCAGCACAGCGGCCAGGGATGGAACACCAGTCCGTGTGTCTGCCTAAGCAGGCATTTTAATCTGCTGAGCTATCTGGCCAGCCCTTAAATCAGCATTTTGTATAACCAATTTTCACAATATTTTTAGAGCCAGTTATAGGTTAGATGAATTTTTTTCTGTTGTCTCTTATGTATCATTAAGATTCACGGGCCAGGGAGATCGTTCAGTAGAATAAGTGCTTGCCTGGCAAGCTCAAGGGCCTGAGTTCAGTCCCCGGTTCCGCCCCCCAAAAAGGATTCATTGTGTTTTAATTCATATAATTGTTATTCTTTTAATGATTCAGTTCTCAAAACTTCGGCCAGGGATTCACCTTCAGAATTGCTTCAGGGCCTGCCTGGCCCAACCTCGTGAGTTTTTTAATTTCAGCATCGTTATTTTCTAGCCTCATACTGTTTATTTTTTATATATGTGTAAAAGATTTTTTACATTAAAACACACAAGTACACATGAAGTTCAGATATTACACTGAACTATAATTTCTTCCAAATAACTGTAGTAACCTAGATTGTCTTTTTTTAGGTATAATTACTCAGCCTAAAAAATGTACACTGTTAGGAAATTTTTTTTTTCTTGGCTCGCTCAGAATGCCTTCCGGGCAGGTTTGGCTGGCTTGAGTTCTGGGGATCGAACCACAGCAGGCTGAGCTGACAATTGTTTGAGCAGGCTCTTAAATAACTGAGCTAAGGGGCAGGCCCCCTCTTATGAAATTTTTAATCTTTGCTCCTTTCCGCACTCTAAAAGCCAGTTAGAATTTGGCAACTGAAGAGAATATTTGTGTATTTTAATTTTCCTTAGATGTAAGTCAGTTCATTTGGATTCAGACCACACATAGTACTTGAAGCACTGGTTTCACTGAATCCGCATAATGAGCTATATGACTATATGTTTCTGAGCACTCCTCAGGAAACAAGGATTCATAATAGTATGAGGTGTCTCAGCCTTGGTGAGCAATGACTGATGGAAAAGATTACATAGAGCAAAACTTAAAATGCTCTGGCCTTAGAGATGGTTCACAAAAATATTTGCCTCATTTAATAAAGCACAAATAGTATAAAGAAACAAAAACAAAATTTTTGAGCAGTGAACATTGAAGACAAGAGGACTCATAAAGTGATACAGCCCAATGGGTTCCTTCTGGAAGTTTTCAAAAAGAAAGGATTGGAGCCCTCTGTTGGTCTTTCAGGAAATTTTAAGATTTAGTTAGAAAGTTTGTTGTGGGCTGGCCAGATAGCTCAGGAACTGGGATTGGATCCCCTGCGTGCAGTGCCTGCCCCGCCACCGGGGTGTGCTGAGAGGGCAACTGAGACTACGCGTGGTGGTGCGCCTTTCATCCCAGCGTTTGGGAAGCTGAAAACAGGAGGATCACTACGAATCCGATCTGTGTAGTGAGACCCTGTAGACCCTGCACTAATACCAAAAAAAAAGTTTATTGTGATGCTTCAGTTTTATCCATCTATATATACTTAAAGTAATTGACTCTAGAGGGCTTGGGGGCAGAGCTGGGGTAATTGAAAAAAAATTATACATGTATGTGATATATATATATAGGTTTCTTTATTATACTGCAACCAAAGCTTTCCAAAAAATTCTAGTCTTTTTGCTTTCTGTCATACCACAGTTACATGGATGCAGATGAAAGGAAATTCTAGATTGTAAATCCAAGAAATAAATCTTTAAGTATTGTATTTGATAACTGTCTGATTTGGCATGCTGTCTAGCTTAAAACACACTTCTGAGTGACAGAACCTGATACCTAAACCCCATGTATACTTTATATAATTGTATAATTAATATAAATATGTGATTTTCCACAAATGGTATTCCTGTCTATTTTTTATTTTGTTATTTCTTGAAATACACTTAATCATTTTTATCTTTCTTACAAATTTTTTTTTAGTGGATTATCAAACACATTTACAGGAAAATCAAACCATCACTGCCATATGTCTGCATATGAAAAATCTTTTCCTATTAAGCCTGTTGCAAGCCCATCTTGGAGTGGTTCTTGTCGTCGAAGCCTTTTAAGCCCTAAGAAAACTCAGCGACGACATGTTAGTACAGCAGAAGAGGTAAGAAAACGTGCACCAGAAGTTACTGCAAATTATAGGCTTGTCCCACATTGAACCATTTGCTATCTTTTTGTGGTACTGGGGATTGAACGTAGGACCTTGAGTTTTCCAGGCAGGCGCTTATCCACTGAGCTGTCTCCTTGGCACTGTGTTGTACTTAATGCTTTGTTGGCTTTTCTTACTCTTTGAATTCTGTCATCTGTTCTAAAGGAATTAAGGAGCTGTTTTAGCAGGACTTCTTTTTCTTAAACCATCTTCTGTTCCTGTTGTATGGATGGCTTTACTAAATCTTCAGAGTTGTCTGAATGGTTTTTTTCCATGCAGAAAACTATCACTTTGTTTTTTAAGATCTTTCTAAACTATTGCTTCCTGTGCCAGAACTGTTAATCTTACTAAACTGTTTTGTTGTGATAAAATTTGCTTTGATTCAGTGCCTACCCTTCTCAATAGGAATAATGTTCTCCAATTATACTAAAATAAAAATCAAGAATCAAGGAACAGGGGGCCAGGGAGATGACTCAGTAAAATAAACGCTGGCCTGGCAAGTGCAAGGGCCTGAGTTCAATCCCCGGTTCTAGAAAAAAAAAAAAAAATCAAGGAACAGTTTATATTCTGTCATTATACATGTTTGTCTTCAGGGTCATAGACTTTCCTAAAAAGAAGGATGCTCTGTTCACACTTGAGTTGTTAAATTCATTCATTAAACTTACGGGGGAAAATATCTTATTTTGTGGATATAATCAGTCATGTAATTTGCATAGTAGGAAGTATGCTTGTTCCTGTAGTATCCATCTAATTAGCTTTACCATAGAGATATAGTGAATAACAGTGGCCTTACACAGTCCTGATTTTAGTGTATTTTCTACATATTTTTTATTGAATTATTTTAACCTGTGGCATACGTAAAGGTGAGTGAATATTCTGTAATCTGCAGATTTGGAATGTAAATGGTCACACACCTGGCAAATGGCGGGTTGAAAGCCCAGTTATTTTGCGTAAATGCTGCTCAGTGTACCTTTTATTTAGTACAGTGGCATGGTTCCTATCTATTGAGCTTGCTACTAAGCACAGGGTCAAAACTACAGCATTACATGCTGAATAATGGACATCATTTAGTAACTGCAGATATCTTAGGTGGCAAAACTTGAATATTTGTGGGGTTTTTAAAATTTTTTGAGAAAGAAATAGCAATGAGACAATTTCAAAACAGGTTAGGACAGTGACAATAATACATTGACTTGTCTTTGTAGTAGGTATTCATAGTATAAGATGCAGACATGATATCTTGTCTAAACACTATTAGTACAAATCTTTGTTCTCGTTGAACTAAGAGAAAGTAGCTGTATGTCTATTCTATTTTGTATATACAGATGAATATATATGTACATACATA